GTAACAATAGCAAGAGGCAAACCTCCACATTCCTCCACAACTTGTCTCAAAGTTGGTTCTAGTGTATTTATAATGCCTCCACTAGCAGTTAAAACTGCACTTCCAACTTTATTCAAGAATAGTTGTAATGCTTCTTTCTTCGGAAGAGGTTCCAAATTGACTATCTCGCAATTCATGTGCCGAGCAACATCTTGAAAACGCGTTGTCAACACCAACTTGCAATTGTTGCTTCCAACCAAATCTGGAATTCCAACATCTTCAAGAGAAATGTACTCCCACACATCATCTAAAATTAACAAGTAACAGTTTTTTTCTAACATTTCTGACAATACTGCTGCACACATGGTTGCATTCCCATTTGGAAGAGAAACTTTCAATTGGCTTGCAATGTCTTTTTGTAACTTGATAATATCAAACTGCTTTGTTACTGTCACCAAAACAACTTTCTTAAATTTGGTTTCTGTATTCAATAGTTCATTGTGCACATGCTTAATGATGGTTGTTTTACCAATACCACCAAGTCCACAAACTCCAATCCTTGTAATCTTGTCTTCCATCAAATATTTCAAGATTTTTGTTTTAGTAGCATCCCTGCCTTTTAGTTCTGGGATTGGGATTGCAACCCCCTTTCTTGAGTGATCATCAACCACCAAAATCGCATCTACCTTGGTGTATTTTTCCCCTTCATCAAATATTTCCTTCACTTCTCTAGTTTTTTCATCCAGATACTTTGCTACACAAATGTGAGAGAAACATCCCACCCTTTTGACTTTATCTTCAACACCTTGAATTATTTTATCCCCTCTGTCCAGCCAATCTTTAACTTCCATGCTTTCAATCTTTCCAGGGTAATTTTTTGCCTCTGTCTGTATTCTTGCTTTGATGACTTCTTGTCTTGCCAGCAAGCTTGCTTTCTTTTCATTGAATTTACTAACATAATCACCCAAGCATAATTGGTACTTTACACAAGCCCAAACTGTAGGGACAACATCCTTCACAATGTCGTAGATTGGCTTTGTAGTTTCCATAACTTAGCTCCTACATAAATATACTATAAGGTATTATTTAGAAGGCAAGAAAATGTTTGTTTAGATGTATATAGATATCGAACTATGCTTTAAAAAGTTATGCCCTTAGGAAATGGTTTATACATTTAATAAAGAAAGACAACAATCTTAAGAAATTAAATAAAGCATGGAAAACTAAAGAAGACTTACTAATTTAATAAGAAGCTAACTAATCAACTATGACAAATCTAGTTATCTAACGAAAATGTACATTAATATAAACTGAACTTCTATTCTTCCTAAGGATTGAATTTTAAAGATTTTAATTGGCAAAAGTTGACAATCAAGTTTGTCTAATTAGTAATAAATGAAAATGTTGTGGATTTAATTAAACAAATTTGCAATAGTTTATGTTCAAATTAATAATTATATCTATTAAAACACTACTATTTTGATTCGTGCATTTGAATTGTCCTTTGCAAGATTAATTCATACAATTATTCTGTAAGTTAGTTAAGTGACTTTGTAGAAAGTAGCCTCCTCCATTTTGTTGTATACAATCTAGTTTTATCATCCATTATTAGTGGAACTACTAATAACTGAATCGCACTAATTAATAATCAATAGTACGTACGCAGAAACATACTGTTTGATGAATTATTTGTCACCCTATCTACTAATTGTCAATGGTTACGAATGCAAAATAAATGATTTGAAAAATTATTTGGCATGCTATTTGATTATTTTAAAGGCATATGTTGAGTCATCATTTCCTTGAGAATAATTTAAGGTTGTGTAATTTCTAATATAGGGAGGAAATCTTAAATTTATAGAAAAGTTTTGATAACATAATTTGGTGTAGAAATTC